AACTCCGGACAGTTCCTTTGTGAAGGAGGCCATGCTACTCAGCTGTTTGAAACTAGGCCTGTAAATAGTCCTCACTGAGCAATTTGCCTTTGTTTGATTTGGGAGAAAGTGATAAAATAATGAAGTGATTGAAAAATCACCCTGAACTATGTTCCATTGACATCTGCTGAGATACTTGCAGTCCAGTGAAGCCCCCACTCCTTTGGTGGCATCTTCAAGCAGATCTGCATCTTTTTCTTCACATACTGGAGTGCAGGTGGGATTCTCAAAGGTATCTAACAGACATAGGCGCACAAGTCCCACTGAAAGTTAGCCGAGTAAGCTACTTAGATGCTTTTGAAAATCCCAGACTGGGGCTCTGAATTGGCTGCTGTAACAATGTGCATGAAGAAAGTTGCATTTGTTTCGGTGTTAAACAAACAAACAGAAAAATCTTTCCAATCTTTGCCCTATGATTTTAGGGATCTGTCTTTTTTTTCTATATTTTGCATATTCTGAAACTTTTAAACTATCATTTAAAAATGCAGAAGATGCAGCCATTACAACATAAATCCATATACTCCGCTGGTGTCCTGTTTACCTAGATTTGCAGAAAGGTGTTTCCCTCCAATCTCACTGAACAGATCCCTACTAATAAACAGAGAGCCTCCACCATTGGCACTAGTTGGTGCCTTTGGCAGCCTCAGCGAAGGCCAGAGATTGAGTATGTCATGGAGAATGAACCACCTTATCACTCCTAGAAACTGGGGTCCTTGAGGTCTTTTTCTAGCACTAAATTTGCTTTTAAAGAAAAAGAAAAAGCATCTGAGATAAGAGATCCTGTTTTGATGAGGCTGAGGTGTTGGTGTTGCATACTTTGGAGCACTTATCTGAACATTTCACCCTCAGAAGTTTGGGGAAATAGAGATGCTTCCTCTCTGTTTTTGTCCTCCATTTCTCGGCTATTTCGTTGTTTGCCATCGTACTCTTTCTGGTGTGATGGCAGTTTTGTTTTGTTCGTTCAAACATCTGGCATCACAGCCAGGGCATTACAGACATGGGAAGGTTGACTTTTGTGCTCCATTCAATGTCTCTTCTTGGTATGTAAACAATAGTGCGTGTGTTACTGTAAAAGCTATTCCCAATAGAGCTCAGACAGCTGTTGCACCAAAGTAGTGAAAGTATTCTTTTTATTTTTCATGTATTAGCAATTGTTCAGTTTCTCTACAATCAAGAAGATGCAATCCACCTGGATTTTCCTCAGAGTTAAACTACTTAAATGTTGGTCTGTAGTAGACAGTCATGGTACCTTCCACATCAGATACTTTCCAGGTTGCCAAGCCCCAGAATGGACTTACCTTGACAGTTGCCCTGACCTGAGGGATTTTCATTCAGGCTTCCAGTTACTTGGGATGCAGAGGGTTTCAGTTTGAGGGGCTTACAAAGTGCCCTCTTGCTTTTAGATAGGTCTAATCCCTCCCTAGATATCTGCAGGTAACACACATGACTCTGAGCTGACTTCAGAGCTAGGTACTGAGGTACAATCCTTCATGTACCATCGAGATGCAGAAATTTTACACTGAAATCATGTTCAAATCCAGGTCTGCTCTGTGGAACTACAGCAGTTCAAGTTGGGGCCACCTATCGGTGAACTCCTCTTGAAAATTCCCTAAGCTGAAGTGTAAAGTTTTCTCTGGGAGTGTGTGGACTTTTGCCAGTCTGTTTTTCTCTTCAGCCCCACCCTCCTTAGCAGATCTATTCAGACCCAATCATTGTCAGCTGAGGTAGTTCTGCCCAAACTACAACCAACTCTTCTCAGTTGTCCATTAGAGATGATTTAAAAAAAAATGAGTTGTAAGTAATTGAAGCATTTCATCTTTGGGCCTTTTTAGATCCACAAATTTTAAGGCCAGAAGGGACCGTTGTGACCATATAATCTGACGTCCTACCTAACGCATTTCTGTGCTGCCTCTTACGCTGCTATATTCTCCCATTTTTTTGTTCGCAAAGTCACTATCCTCTCCTCTTACAGGTACCCCTTAAAAACACTTGTCTTTCATGAAGCCCATGATAATTTCCCAATATGTCCTGTCTTGCTGTGTCCATCTTTCAGATGCAAGCTCTTTGGGCCAATGCCAAGTATGCTACTCTGGAGGGTCGCAAACTTTTCCATACCTGGTGTAATAGGCTCCCTTCTCTGCCCTTTGGCCCACCACAAACAGACTGGATACTTTTGAGTTGATAAGCCCCAGTGTGTTGTTGATCGGGTCCCCTCCACCCAGTACAACTTTATGCAGCAAAATGCAATTGGAAGTAAGGCTATGTCTAAACTAGCACTTTTGTTGGTATAATTTACGTCGCTCAGGGGTGCGAAAAAACACCCTTCTGAGCGACATAAATTACACCAACAGAAGCACCAGCGTGGATAGCACTATGTCAGTGGGGGAGGCTCTCCCGCTGACATAACTACCACCGCTCATTGGGGGTGGATTAATTATGTCAACAAGAGAGCTCTCTCCCATCAGCTTAGAGCGGTTACCCGAGCGCTCTTACAGCAGCACAGCTGCGCCACTATAAGCTCGCTAGTGTAGACATGGCCTAAATTTCCCCCATGACCCGCCTTCCAGGGAGAGAGAGGGAAAGATCTCACTGTCCTGAGATCCTGCATCCCGTCAGCCTGCCTTCCTGTCCTTAGTGTTCCCAGCTGACGGGATGATTGCTCTCTGAGCATCCATCCCCCAGTTAAATCCACTCCAGGGGGTGGAATATGTCTACACTGCAAGAAAAGACTCATGGCAGCAAGTCTCAGTGCCCAGGTCAACTGACTTGGGTTGCACTAATGAGTTTAAAAATAGCAGTGTAGATGTTCAGGCTGGAGCCTGGGCTCTAAAACCCAATGAGCAGGGAGGGTCTCGGATCGCAGGCTCCAGCCCGACTCTGAACATCTACACTGCTATTTTTGGCCCTGTAACACAAGCCCAAGTCAGTTGACCGGGGCTCTGAGATTCATGGCCATAGGCTTGGGGTTTTTTTTGCAGTGTAGATGTAGCCCTAGTGACCAGAATGCTGGGTCAGCTGTAGGCTCCTAGCACTCTGTCCCACTTGGATAACCCCAGGATTCCCTTCCCTTCCACCTGGGATTTAAGCTGGGCCCCATTCTCATCTAGCAACATGGGAAGTAACATAGAAATCATGAACCGCTTGGCATCTGTTCACAACCCCCAGGTCGAGAGCCCAGGTATTAAACAAATAAAACTAACCCAAGAGGCTCTGATTGACAGTGTGATGTAAAATTGGCTGGTAAAATAGGGGGGGAAATCATTGCTGCATTTCTATGTTGTATTATTGACTGGTGGCACAAATACAGGTTTAATTCTGGAGTAAAATAATCTGAAATCACAAGGATTGCCCTCAGTGGAAGATTTTAAAACTCTGAACTCCTATAAAAAGCACAAGCGGCTAACAATCAATTGCTGACTGATTGAACGATCCTGCTGAATGACCCACAAATGACTGAAATCATTACCAAATGGGCTCTTTTGTAAACTGTGAAATTTTAAGGGGATCTGCTGGCATTCATTTGTGAATGGTGTTTCTCCTGACTGTGATAAGTCTGCATTACCTGCCTGTGTGAGTATATTGTATTGCCTGTGAGTGCATTTCTGTGTTAGGGGATAAGGTCCCCCATGTATTCTGGCTGGGAACACGATTACCTTTGCTTGTTATAAAGGTAACATTTGTAGCTGGCCCAACTGCAAAGCCCCAGAGAGCACTCAAAACACAATCTGCAGCTTGAACCAAGGGAGAGGTGGCAGGAGGGAGTATTCTGAAGATTCCAACCTTCCTTCTAGACTAATTAAGATTCTGTACTAGTTGTATTCTGTTCTGCCTCTGTCCACATCCTGCTTACCACTTGTGTCTATGCTGAATGACTGAATGGAAACTGGAATACTGGGTGTCACAGCATCTTGGTAAGCAGCAGGGGGTATGATGCAGTCAACATCCTAGTCCTCATTCACCACCCAAAGGATTCTGAGCCCAATGCAACTGCCTGTGTATAGCTGATGCTCTTCTGAAACTCTAGTAAAATATATAGCATTTTGATCTAAACAAATAATGATTTGCACTTTAGTAGCACCTTTCATCCTAGTATCTCAAAGAATTTTGTAAGCCCCCCTCCCGCCACGCATCCCTATAAGAGATATACATAAACTGATCCAAATTCAGCTGAGGAACTGAAGCACAACACTTACCTGGCTAGCTCATGGCCACACATGAAGTTTTGTGGCAGAGCTGGGAATTGAATCCAGGGATGAGATTCTGTGCTTTGCCTTTTGGAGGCACAGCACAGAACTCGCAGCCCTGGGAAAGGGTAGGGAACTGTAGTGGTTTTAAGCCACGTTTTCCCACAAATCCATTCCTGTACCTAAGACCGGGGAAAGATACAGCTAAAGGACTGTCAAACAGCATCCACAGATAGCAGCAGGCTCCAATGTCCCTAAAAAGGCACATTGAATTCCTTCTCTAAACTGAGGCACTTCTAATCACATGTTTCACAGTGCCCCACCCCCAACTCTCCTTAGGAAGCATGATCGTAGTTTACCAGAAAAGCTTAGTTCCTGTATATGTCTCTTTCAGTAAGGTCCTGCTTTTTAAGCCCACTTTTCTAGCTGGGTTGCTTTGGTAAATTTCTACGGCTCTGAGCTTTCAAGCTGCTTACAAGCTTACTTTAATGGAGAACCTATACAAAATACGCTATGGGGTCGCTTGAATTTTGGTTAACTTAATTTCAAAGTGGTTACAGCCTGCTAAGGGTTTAGGCGTGCTATAGATACAACATGTGGGGGTGGCTTTTTATTATTTTATTTTAAACAATACAAGTTTCCTTTGATTCACGGCATTCATGCAGTCTCATTATACTTCACATTTTCAGCCTTCATAATGCATCATTCAATCATTTTTTCCCCCTATTGTAGTCTCGCGAACTATTGTCGGTAATTTCTTTTCATTTCTCTCTTTAGGTTGTTGTTTCGTAACATTTTATACAAGAAAAGCTGCACTTGAGGCACAGAATGCACTGCACAATATTAAAACTTTACCTGGGGTGAGTACATTTTTCTTTTTGAACCTAATCACTTTATGGCTACAAAATAGCCGCTTTTCTGAAGATGCTAGTTATAGGCTCTTAGTGCCAGAAATGACTTTGGTCTTTTCGAAGGAGAGTTGCTGACCTGATAGTTCACGTTCAGTAGCCATGCCAATTGGCCAGTCTAATAGCGATGGCATTAGCTTGGAAGAAAAGTGCTCTTATATAGAATGTCCCCTGGCTGGAAATAATAGTGATCCCTGCTGGGTAGCAGCAGCTACTGAAGTGTAAGGTGGATTCAGATTTTTTTGGGGGGGAGGAAAGGCAAATAGGAAAACAAAACTTCACACACCAGGATTTCTTTTTTTCCTAAGTGTCTGGTTTTGTTTTGTTTTTTGAGGGGGAAGGGTGGAAAAGGACAAAATGTAGCTAGCATAGGCATAATGGTTTCTAAACAATACGCAGCAGTTACTTTGATGGCTGTGTACTGATGTACATTAGAAAATATTATAATGTAATTGTATTCAAAATGTTCTCCCATTTTGTTTTGTTTTTCAGCAATCTGTAACCACTAACACATTACGCTGACAGTTATTATAGATACAGTTGTACTAGTGATCAGTTGCTTATGTGTGTAATATGTAATAAGTAATCTTTAAATTCTAAATTACAGTCATCATCATCACATTTCAAGGTAGTAACTTGATAGCCACAAATCTTTGGAGTTAAACAATCAGTCAATTTAATATTTTACATCATTCTGTTGGATCCAGCTGAGTATTGGTCATATGTGGAATAAAAAACTCAAGTTTGCAGTATAAGGTTCCAAACAGAAGTGAAGACAAAAGGCACAGTAAAAATACAGCTCTTGTTGATAAGTATAGGTTCCACACCACTTGATCTAGCAGATACATGACCAAAAAAAATCTTCTTTAGCTCCCATGTGCTGCATGTGAATTCAACTCCATGTGTTTGAAAAATAAGGATCTGGCTGGTGCACCTTGTACAGGTGGGAGAGTCATGGAATTTACCAGGGAAAATGAACTATAGCGAACAACATGGGTGAGGTAATATCTTTTATTGGACAAACTTCTGTGGTGAGAGAGACAAGCTTACACAGAGCTCTTCTCTGGGTCTGGAAAACGTACTCAGGGTGTCACAGCTAAATATTTAAGCCAATCTGATGATCTAAATGTGCACAAGTCCTGCAATAGCGGAATGGATATCCTCCTTTAAATGGAAGCCGCTGAGGGAGAGGGCACTAGAAAGTCCTCGAAGTTCTAGCCCAGATGCAGGGAAATAAATGAAAAGCTTTGTTGCTTGTTATAACATCTCTAGGACTCCAAAGACTGCCCCGTCAAGCCCTCTTTCTCTCTGTGCAGCCCACTGAAGGGCTGTCAAAGTTGCACTCCCAGCTTTTGAGGAAGCCCAGAATATGCCCTAAATGGAGCTCCTCATGTGTGGTTCAGCTCTGCACGACTCCTTACTTGGGCCAGTAGCCAAATGCTGCAGTTTGCATCTCCCACTTCTTTGTAACCAGTCATTGTGGGGTTGTTGTCGGGACTGCTTTTTACTAGTGTTGCCAAGCATTCAAAGAACATCAGACTGGCTCAGAAAGCACAAACATTTTTCAAACAATAGATTTTGGGTTCTTTTTTTAATTTTGTCTTCTACTTTTTCAACCTTTAGGGGTCACGCTTCCAAGTTTTTCTCTGCAGTTTTTAGTGTTAGAAACTTATCTTTTTTTCAAAAAATGAAAGGTGAGACTATCACATAATCACATGATTCTAAGTGCTGGGGCAAGACTGGATTTTACTTTCAAGTTGCACCTAATTCTTAAATGAAAATAGAATAATCCAAGAATAGCTCCATCACCAGTGTTGAATGCACATATTATTCTACTATATTCTGTACCCACTGCATGCTAATATTTTATAGAGGTTGTAGCACCTCGTTACACTGAAGCAGTGTTTTCACAAAACAAATTCATTGTAAGTCAGTAAGATTCACTCTGTCTGGAGCTGCAATTTGCATACTGAGAACATTGGATTCTACTTCCCTTTAATTGGCGATCCAGCCCAGTTTCACTGCAGGCCGGATCTAGCCCCCACCGAAGATTATGAAAAAAAATCTCATTAACGTCAGTCTTTGGATCAGGCTACATGAGCAGCTTCTACAGAATGTGAAGGAATCAGCATACAGATTTCATGGCTGAACATGCACCTAATCTCTTTCTGCACAAACAGAAACCATCTCCCATTGCCATTGGGCACCAAACTGGATTTGCACCAGGGGAGAATTGGGACCAGTATGTGCTTGACATCGTCCTCATCCTGCTTCATTGTAATACTAGATTTTGTTTGTGTGGTTCAGTAGTAAGACATCTCCTGCAACCAAAAGGATCTCTAGGTTCTTGGATTAATTGAATTGCTTTTGTGCTTCCTATGTCTCATCCTCTAAATGAGGGCCTGATCCAAAGGCCACAGTGTAAAGACTTGGATCAACTTCAATGGGTTTTGTATTGGGCCCCATATGAAAACCAGAAAAGCTTCTTAATGCTTGGGCTTTGTTTTACATTCATTTGCTGTATGTTCCACTCTCCATTTCAACTTATCTTGGCAATGCACTGTACTCCGCTCTTTTTATTATAGTTTTTAGCTGATAAACTTCATCCTTAGCAGAGAGATGAAAAAATTGATGTTGTATGTATTCCTTTGAGTTTCAGCCTTTTAGTGGACATGAAGAAAATGGGACCAGACATAAATGATTAATGCAGATTCTTGGAAGAAAATATTGCAGGGTGCCTTGCTGTTTGATTACAAGCCTTGGAATTAGTCAACATTTCCATAATTCTAAACCAATATACACCTGTTTTCCCACTGTGATGTGAAGGCACAACTTAATTTAACAGAAACCCCGCTGTGCTAAATCTCTCATTAAATACCAAGCTAGTTCTGTAATTTAAAGTTGCAGCATCACTATTTTAACCAAATTTCCTTTGTATTATGAAATTAATAAGTTAATGATGTATTCCAAGACTTTTTTTTAACAGCAACAACAAAAAAGGAAGCTGAAGAAGAACATAGCACCAGCTGACTTCTCAAGGCTTTTCTGGTTTTAATCATATTCAGGAGGATACAATCATGTAAACGCTTTTATATATATATATAATTGTGTCAAACATTTTCAGCATAAGCCAGGATCCAATAGCTTCTTTCTACTCTTGATTAGTATCATTTTTCCTTTAGCTATGAAAATCCTTGTCATATAACGGAGTTTTTATCATCCAAATAAACTTGTGTTTTTAGGTATTTAGGTACCATTTACAGGATAGTATCTTCTCTTGACGGAGAACAAAAAACAGTGTCAAGGGAATACAAGCTGAAGTTGATATACTGTGCATATCAGCAAAACAGATAAACTCCTCTGTTGCTTACTCTGTCTTGATGTCAACATTACTAATAGTATTTGGGTCTTCTAAACAATGAATCTGAACTTCTGACTGAATGTTATATTAGAAATTATATCACAAACTAGTCTAGTTCATGGAGCAAGACCATAATGGATGCAATTTATAAAATTCTAATTACTTTTAAGTTATTTATTTCTATGTGGAAGTGTTGGTTTAAAAAAAAAGTAGAAAACCTCCTTCTTCTTCGAGTAGTGTCCCTATAGGTGCTCCACTGTAGGCATGCTTGCGTCCCTGTACGTCTGATCGAAGAACTTTGGTAGCAGTGTCTGTTAGGCCCTGTAATGGTCCCCGCTCGGGGTCTGGTTGGGAAGCATGGCCTAGTGGTCACAGCCACAACCCCAGACTGCAAATGGGGTTTTATATTGTATGTGCAACACACTTTTGTCATTGTGACCAGGTCTGCCAGGCAATTTGCCTTATTTCAAAAGGTTCCCCTATATCATGTCCATCTCCTATATCGGGGTGGGCAAACTCCGGCCTGGGGGCCACATCCAGCCCTTCAGATGTTTTAATCTGGCCCTCAAGCTCCCGCTGGGGAGCAGGGTCCGGGACTTGCCCTGCTCCATGCCATGGCTCCGCGCAGCTCACGGAAGCAGCGGTATGTCCCTCCTCCGGCTCCTATGTGTAGGAGCAGCCAGAGGCTCCACGCACTGCCCGTGCCCCTAGCGCCGCCGCTGCAGCTCCCATTGGCCAGGAACTGCAGCCAATAGGAACCTGTGGATGGGGCAGCATGCGAAGCTCCCTGGCTGCCCCTATGCGTAGGAGCTGAGGAGGGACATGCCGCTGCTTCGGGGAGCACTTGAGGTAAGCGCCGCCAGGAGCCTGCACCCCTGACCGTCTCCTGCACCCCAACCTTCTGCCCTAGCCCTGATCCCCCTCCTGCCCTCTGAGCCCCTTGGTCCCAGCCCAGAGCACCCTCCTGCACCCCCAGTCCCACCCCAAAGCCCACAACCCCATCTGGAGCCCTCACCCCCCCCTGCACCCCAACCCCCTGCCCCAGTCCAGAGCTCCTTCCCACACCCTGAACTCCTAATTTATGGCCCCACCCCAGAGCCTGCACCCCCTCCCACACCCCAACCCCCAGTTTCATGAGCATTCATGGCCCGCCATACAATTTCCATACCCAGATGTGGCCCTTGGGCCAAAAAGTTTGCCCACCCCTGTCCTATATGGTCGTTGGCTGTGACACTGTGCCCTGTACACTCATCAGATCTCATAAAATACGGTCCGATTATTACTTGTGAGGGAGACCTCCAGGGGCAATCCAGGGTGCTGCATGTTAGTAGTGTTAGTGATTCAGTAGCTGGCACTCTCCCATCTGAACCCGTAATGGACCAGTGCTACAGCAGGCTGCTAGGAGCACAGTGCTGTTTGAAGATGCCATACACTGGCTAAGAAGTAAAACCTAGATCACGCCCACTTAGCAGTCATCAAAGGTCCCACTTTAAAGATAGCACATTCTGAAAAAAGCAAGAGTGTTAATCCGAGCGCCTGCTTTAAATTACAATTTGGGTAATTCTGGCAGGCCTACTGAAATAGCCCCTCT